TACCAAACACTTCTCCCATACATCCACTATATCTTCCACATCACTCCGTATGCCTAATGGTACAAATGCACCAGCCATTCGATTAGGAATTATCCACCTTAACAAACATTTAACTCTTCTCAATGTCTTGTTTGTTCCCGCCTTCCGTTTTAATCTTATATCTGTCTCTAAACTATGTCATGATAATGTATGTGTTTTAAATTTTTTTCCTAACAAATGTGGGTTTCAAGACTGTTTGACTGGGAAACTAATGGGCTCGGGTAAAGTTCATCATGGTCTATATTATTGGATAGGTGATTTTGATGCTAAAAATTATGTCTTGTATTACTGATAATAAAAATTCCCTTTGTAATATAAACATTAATAAAACTCCTTTTATTTTGCATCAACGTTTGGGTCATAGTGCCTCTATTTCCCAACCCAAATGCCCTGTTTGCCCTATTGCAAAGTAGTCTCACACTACATCTCCCAAACACACACCCTCCACCACATGAAATTTTTCTTTAGTTCATATGCACATATGGGGTTCATATCACACAACCAATCACTCTAGATTCTTTCTAACCATTGTTGATGGCTTTTCTCGGGGAACCTGGATTTACCTTATGCAATTTAAAACACAAACACTCACTCACATTAGAAATTTTTTGTCCACGGTCAAAACCCAGCTCGAACTTTCAATTCAACGCATTTGAACCGATAATGCTTGGGATTTTTTTAACACTCACTGTTCCACCCTATTTTCTTCTCTTGGTATTATCCATGAAAGCTCCTATGTTTATACCCCTCAATAGAATGACATAGTTGAACGGAAACATAGACATCTCTTAGAGGTCGCTAGTGCCTTAAAACACCAAGTCAACAACTCCATCACCTTTTGGGGCGAATGTGTGGTCACGGCTACCTACCTAATCAATCAGATGCTGAGTCGAGTCCTCTATGGTAAGACACCCTATGAGCTTCTCTTTTGAAAGCCACCTACAACTGATCATCTTCAAGTATTTGGGTGTTTATGTTATTTTACTAATCTGGGGGGCATGACAAATTTTCTCCTTAGGCCATTCAGTGTATATGTATGGGCTACCTAATGCATCAGAAAGGCTATAGATTATATGATCCCGCTTCAGTAAAATTCTTGGTTTCTAGAGATGTGATTTTTCATAAAGACTGATTTCCTTTTATAGACAGTTTCAACTCTAGCAGTAATCTTCAACAGTCTTCATCTTTTTTGGAAGATCCTTTAGTAGAATCTTAATTCGGGTCCTATTATACCTTGCATCCCCTTCATGATTGGGAACTCACCATGATAGACACAACATCAACTCCCATGTCTCCTAATTCTTCTTAAGAGACACAACCTCCCAGTCCATCTCCACCCTTGGACACACTTCCTGTAGTCCCCATTCCCGCTCAAAGAAGATCCACCCGGGCCACTCATCCTCCTATTTGGACAGCCAATTATGTTTGTCCTACCCTTTAGACTACCACAGGTACTCCTTACCCCACTTCTAACTATGTCAGTTATGACAGACTTTACACTGCCCATAGGATTTGTGTTAGTCAGATTTCTGCCCAACAAGAGCTTTCATGCTATTTTGATGTTGTTTCCCTTGCACATTGGCATCAAGCCATGGTTGATGAACCCAATGCTCTTTCTTAGAACCATACTTGGTATCTTGTCCCCCGTCCTCCCCATAGAAGACCTATTGACTGTAAATGGGTTTACAAGATCAAGTATCATGCTGACAGTTCAATAGACAGTACAAAACCTATCTTATTGCCAAAGGCTTCACTCAACAGGAAGGGTTTGACTACCAAGACACTTTTTCCCAAATGGCTAAGCATGTTACTGTTCATACTTTCTTATCCGTTGTTACCCTACACAATTGGACTCTTCATCAAATGAATGTTCATAATGCCTTCCTGCATAGGGATCTTAATGAAGAAATCTACATAGATCTACCTCCAGGACTACGCAGGTACAGGGAGAATCCGGTATGTCGTCTACATAAGTCCTTGTATGGTTTGAAACAAGCATTCTGACAATGGAATGCAAAATTCACCAAGGTCATAATGAAGATGGGTTTTACTCAATCCAAGCATGACTACTCTTTCTTCACATGGTGAAAAGGTACTTCCTTCATTGCCCTCATTATCTATGTTGATAACATTTTAATTACTGGGAATAATGAGGATAACATCAATACCCTTAAAGAGCATCTCAATAGACATTTTCATATAAAAGATCTAGGGGAGGTATATCTTTGAGCCAAAGAAAATATGTTTTAGAACTTGTTTCTAACTTTGGTTTGTCAGCATGCAAGCCTAGTGTGATTCTTGTGGAACAAAATACCAAACTCACGTCTCAACAATACAACCGAGAGTAGATGTGCAAAACCGAGTAACGGAATCGGTTTTGTCATTTTAATCGAGTACCCGAATATTCGGGTACTCCTAAAAGGGTATTCGAAAACCAAACTAGTTTTTAGGGTATCCAGATTTTCGGGTACCTGAATACGCAGATCAGTTTTCAGTTACCCAATTTAAGGCCCAAATTTTAAATGTTTAATTAAAATTTTAAAAGGCATAATCGTAATCCTTCTCCAATCTTCTATTTCTTCTTCGTCTTATTCTCCTCCATTTGATCATTTCTCTTTCATCATCAAATTTTTCCAGCGACCCTTTTCTTTTTCTTTTTCTTCTTCTCCCTTTGGTTTTCTCATTCTTTTTCGTCTTCTCAATTTCTTTTTCTCCCTTTCTTCTCTTTCACTACTTTTCTCTTTCTTTTTCATCGTCTCCTCTTCCAAACCTTAATAATATTTAGGACCAAGAAACATAATCTTGGCTCCGTTTGTTTTGTTATTCCTATCCATATTCCCAATCCTATTCTCAAAATACTTGTTTGTTTTATTATTTGAGAAATAGTATTCTATTTTTTTAATTACTTTTAAACCCCTTAAGTTCATTAATTTAATTAAACCCCCCCTAGAAAAAAAGTTCAAAAATTAACAAAAACACCTCCACCCACCCATAGTTGTCAGATTTTTGCAACCACCAAATCTGTCACAATGGGGTAGAAACGATCAGAAATGGCTGGTAATTCACCGATCTGGCCTTTTTCGGTTAGATCCACACTGGATTTGGCCAAAAAAGGCCAGATTTGGCCGTCAGCGATGACCATATCTTTGGCTATTGCTAACGGCCAAATCTAGCCTTTTGCGGCCGTCGAAGGCCAGATCTCGCTTTAGATCTGGCCTTTTCTGGCTAGATCCACCACTGATCTGGCTGAAAAATGGCGTTACGATGTAGACCGATCGGGTGGTGGCCGGAATCTGGCATTGTGGGTGGGTGGGGGTGTTTTTGTCATTTTACAAAAAATTTATATATTAGACTGTTTAATTAAATTAGCAAACCTAAGGAGTTTTTTTTTTTGTGAATTTTTAAATTTTACCTCGTAATACTCACCCTATTCAACTACCCAATATTATTCCCAAAATCCTATCCAAAATAACAAAACAAATGGACCCCTTAATATCCAGTAAGTAAACCCACATGCATGACACAACATCACTAATTGAACTCGTCTCTTTTTAACTCAACTCAACTCAACATAACACAGAGTCACACTTTACAATACACCAAAACCTTTACAAAGGTAGCGACAAGCCTATTAGAAACAACAATATGGATCTGCTACCCACACAAAAGAGCAAAGATAGAACCTACAGGAAGAATTGAAGAAGATGTGAACTGGAGTGGAGAGCTAGAGAGAAATTTGCGTTTTAGGGTGAAATTGATTTAGGGCTTTTGTTATGAGTCAAACAAAAAAGGAAAAAACTATTTTAATTTTTAATTTTTTTAATAAAACCGGGTTTCGGGTACCCATTTGTATTTTTAATAAGACCCGATACCCGAACGAAAATTCCAGTATCTGATGAATTACTACCTTAAACCGACCCAAATTTTTGGGTACCCAAAAAATTTGGTTCGGTTCGGTTAGCATGTTTGATTTGGGTAACAGGTAATTTTGGATAGCCCTAACCAATATATAGGTTCTTCAGAAGATGATCCTCCACTAAGCGACCCATCCCACTATCAGAGGCTTGTGGGAAGACTCATTTACCTCACCATGACAAGACCTGACATAAGTTACGCCATTCACATATTTAGTCAATTCATGCGTGGGCCGAAACAGTCTCATATGGACGCAACACTCAAGGTACTAAAATACTTAAAGGGATGTCTCGGCCTAGGAATCCCTTTACCACGAGATGGGAACTTTGACATCACAGCATATTGCGATTCAGATTGAGGCACTTGTCCTATGACTAGAAAGTCTCTCACAGGGTTTTATGTTAAAATCGGAGGATCCTATCATGGAAAACAAAACAAAAAAGTCAACAATATCACTATCCTCAATAGAAGTTGAATACAGGGTCATGGCAAAAACAACCTATGAGATTGTCTGGATCCTCGGGTTATTGAAAGATTTAGGAGTACAAACAGGAAAACCAGTCACTTTGTACTGTGACAATAAAGCCGCCAATGATATCATAGCAGATCCAGTTTTCCACGAAAGAACTAAACATATAACGGTTGGCTATCATTTTGTACGAGAGAAGATTTAGGAAGGGATTATCAAAACCAGGCACATACGAAATCTCAGAACAACTAGCAGACATTTTCACAAAGCCTTTATGCAGTAGTCAACATTCATATTTATTACACAAGTTTTGGGTTTTTGACATATATAAACTACCAGCTTGAGGGGGAGTGATGAAATATGGAAAGCTGAAGATATTTATGTTGGAATCAAGTGATTACTGATATGGTACTTATTTGGTTAAATGTTGTAATATTCTGTAATTAAAACTTTATTGTATTTCCATTATTGTATTATTGTATTTCCTTTACTGTACTCACAGCCAGTGTATAAATTGGTTGTTGTACATGTTACAAATATACAAATAATACAATTATAGAATTCTATTCTCTCTATATTCTTGACATTCTTCAGCTCTTCTCTGCTACTTTTGCCAAGTTCTCTTTCTATTGGCAATCTTCGGCAGTGTTCTGCATCTCTTGCCTTCCTTCCAGTCCAAATTCTATTAGCTTGCTAGTGTTATAAACTTTCAGAAGATCATACGGTGGAAAACATACTTTCGAGATTAATAATATAGGAATAAAATCACACTACACAAAGAGACACGAATATTTAAGTGGTTCTGCATAACATGCATACATCCACAGATAAGAGAAATTTATTATAATTTCATGAACACGATATATAAGAGTACACAACACCATAAATCCGGTACATAATTAACAAAATAGAAATAATCCTAGTTTCTAAACATGCTCAACCCAGTACCTATAGCGGAAATAATTCCAATTTCTAAGACACTTTACCCATGATGTTTAATAACCCTTACATCAATTACCTTGTGTTATCACATTTTCTCATAACTTTGAATTAGTTCTCACCCCTATATTTATAAGTAGTATATGTGACATTCTACTTCTAATAAGATTTATATTTCAATTCTTGATAGTACTTTCATAATTTTATTCATATTTACAATTATATTATTTATTAAATAGTTTTTTTTCAACACATACAATTTTACATAAGAACAAATAGGAATGTGAGCCACTATATCCAAAAATAAACATCGAAGAGAACTAGCAAGTCAAATTTGCTCGCACCACAAGAAAATGAATATTTTCCGATGAGGCCATCTCCGATGCAGCAATAACTCGTCAGAGTATTGTCCATTTCACAGCGTCGCAACAGCGCTTTTCCGATATGTTTGTGCCAGCAAACATGACTATTCACAATGTCAAATTGTTCCTTGATGTGCTGATTTATATCTGATTTTTTGCCAACAAGCTTGGATTTCAATTTAGAATCAGGAAAGTAAAGCATAATTCATGACTATGATTATTATGAAAGATCCTCACGCACGTGAAGTAAATTATTTATTTTATTAAACGTAGTTTTGCAAAGGTCAAATTGTTTATCATCGTCATGCTTAGTTCTACCGGAATGAAAATGGCTTAATAACAGCTCCAAGTATGACAATTCCTTTCTTCAAACGCTTACCGAATTCGTACATAGAGAATTCAATGTCCCCGGAATCCATATACGTAGTTGTAAAGGTACCAACTAGGATCTCTATCCATTGGTTTTTCGGCCTTTTATTCAAATATTCTTTGCGAACTTCAGATGTTTCATTTGGGAGGAAGAGTTTGAGGTTCACTGGATCTTCCCATCCATTTTGAGCTTCGTCCTTCATCATTAGGGTAAATGAAACTTGGTAAAGAGTGGCTGGAGTGAGGTTCATTGTGTTGAATTTCCCTTTTACTTCAAAACTCTGTGAATCCTGTAGTTCAGCCACATCAATTCGAGGAGAAGAGTCGAGTATTATAGAATGAAGAAACAAATTTCCTTTAGGGTATGAGAGTTCCCGTGCAAACAACATGAAGCAATTCTTATGGGACAACATATCAACCCAAAATTTCTGCAAGAATAATACAATAACCATGAAAATGTAATACAGTTCACCGCAGGAAAAACGATTTTTTTCGTCCAGCTTTCTTCTGACACAAAGATGGCGTCAGAATAAAGCACCTTTACCGACACAATACAACGACGAGAAATCTGATTTATTTTTTCAGTAAAAATTATAGTCGAGATACTCTTTTTAACCATGGAGATGATATAGATTACTACAGGAGAAACATGTTTTTTTTACCAGCATTCTCCCGACGCAAAGATGAGTTTTTTGCGGAAAACTGGGGCCGGGATAATCTTTTCTGCCGGTGAAACGTTAACGATTATAAAGCTTTTAAAATCTAGACAAGTCATATAGATTTGGGTTAAATTTTAAAAAAATTCGGAGATATTCTGATCTGAGAATTTTAAATGACGATATATATTTATAAGATATGACTTACCTTTTTCATTTGGTTTAAGAAAACTCCAGAGTTGAGCTGATCATATAGCTTGTCTTTGGAGGAGGACTTGTCAACCTGTGAGTCTGCTTCTCCGAGAATGGATTCATAGTTGTGTGGGAGCTTCACTTTTGTTTGAGAAACCTCATGCGCCATCTTCTAATCACTATTTCCCTCTCGCTAATGTTGAAGATATTCATTAATTTCTACATCTTTATAGAAAAATATTTATTCGGTGATAAGGCATAAATTAGCTTATTGATTCCTTGATATGAACATGTCAGCTGGGTATTTGGGCATCTTGAATCACCTTTTCAAAAGGATAAAATTAATCAGATTCTCAGCCATGGCCACCACTTAGGAACATATATGCTATATATCATGCTGATTACGTCTTGTTTATGTTGCGTAAAGAATTAAATTTCCAATGCTATATTGCTTTGTGTCTGCATCTGCCAGGTTCTATAATTGATTGACATAATCTAGGAGCAGCCAAACAAAGAAGACTAAATGAGTTCTTCAAAAATAAGGAAGTTAACACCTTAATTATAATTGCATCGATCACAGGATACAATCCAAAACAATGATTCAGAAAGTTAATTGAAAAATACTTAGAAAAGAAAAAAGCCCTGCAACAGCTAAAAGCTGAGTGCCTAGCATGGCTTATTTTCTTGGAAATATCCCTTGCAAAAATGTTTCATCTTAATTTTTGTTTTGTTAATTTGTTGCTAACTCATATCTGAGGCTAATAATTAAGTGAAGGTGTGTTTATTTATACAGCCGAGTACTATAAAGTTAGAATTTATACAAAGTTAATTATACAAAATGATATGATATTGCTTATTGATTAATATATTATTCATCTTAAATTAATAATTTGACTTTCTACCCTTTTTTTTTTATATCTGATGGTGTTTGGACTAGCTTACACGCTCCTCAACTAATCCCTTAAACCTTAGAATTATCAGTTATGTAAAAGTTCACTCTCTTGTTTATTTTATATCATATTAATTTCATATATAAAGCTTTGTGTAGAAATTTTGTATGTATAATATTATATATTATCATAAGAGGATTGAACACATTTGACTTATTTAGAATTTTGAATTATACCTAAGTAAACTCATAAGTATTCTCAAATCTCACTATATCTAATGTACATATAGTTTCAATTAATATCCAATATTTGATCAAGTTCAACTCACATCAAATTTTATACATTTTATTTAGTTACACACAAAGGGCAAACTTTCTATTTCTTTCCATATGCTTTTCAAAATAACCAATATATTTGTTGACATTTCTAAAATTTGCTTGTCAAAATCAACTACAACCAATTGTAGTGTGACTCAATTTTTCTAAACTCATTATTCCTTTGGAAAAATACCATTTAAGCTTGGCTGTGTTATAAATTAACCTCAAAGAGATGAACTAGCAAAGCAAATGTGTTACTGTCGCAGTTTGATTCAAAGCATAAATTGTGACTTTATTGCTGCTTATTTTTATCACATATGTAACCCTCACATTATTATACGTATTTTCAGTCCTATTGTGAGAAGCTGATGCATGCAGCGTCCATTATTTATTATTTATCTAGAAATATAGTTCTGCAAATCAACCTCAAATAGCTTTATCATCCTCAAGCTTAATTAGTTGTTGCGGAATGGCAATGGCTGGATGAAGGCTGCAAAAATGGCGAGTCCTTTCTTCTTCCGCTTACCAAATTCATACATAGAAAACTCGATCTCCCCCGCATCGATAAACGTGGTAAACGTACCAACTAAAATCTCCATCCATTTATTTTCCGGCTTTCCCTTCAACTTCTCTTTGCGTTCTTCCTCTCTTCCATCCGGATGGACGAGTCTCAGGTTCACAGGATCTTCCCATCCATGAGCATTCTTTTCCATCCTTATTATAAATGAAACTTTGTAAAAAGTTTGAGGGGTGAGATTGCATGTGTTGAATCTCCCTTTCACCTCAAAACTTTCTGATTCTTGCAGAATAGCCTCCTCTATCCCGAATCTGTGTGATTCTTGTAGCTTAAAGTCCTCAAGCCCGGGACAGCCGGTTAAAATGGGCTGCAGAATCCAGTTTCCTTTAGGGTATGAGAGATTTTTTGCAAACAGCACAAAGAAGACCTTCTGGGTCAACTTGTCAACCCAAAACTTCTGCAAATAATAGTACAATTAATACTAACCATGAAGATGAAATAGCTAAGTGCATAATCATTTTCTTCTGCCATTGGTAATTTTTATTTTTTTCTTGTTAGAACAACACTTGATGATACAAATGCTTAAATCCGAGAAGTATAAATAATAAATATATCTCTGGTGCAGACATCTCAAAGACTAGCTAGCTAGTTGCTGCCTTCATAAATACAAGCAAAAACCGAAGCTAACTACCGATCACTAACCTAACAATACAAACTTCAAGACATTTATATAGATCTAAAAGTTTCTATATATTAGTCAATCTCTGGTGTAGGCTGATTGCTGCCTTCACAAACACAGGTAAAAATCAAAGCTAATTCTTAGTCGCTAACTTTAGGTAAAAAATTTCAAGACATCCGCATCTAAAAATTTTCATGTATCGGTCAATCTTTGATGCAAGTGTTTGGAAGTTTTTAACCTGTAGAGTAAAGGTCAGCAACTGGTCGGGAGCTTCACAAGTACAAAATTCAAAAAGAAAACAATTAATTGTTTAACTTTTGAAAGATGAGAGTCACCTTTTTCTTTTGGTTTAAGAAAATTCCAGAGTAGAGTTGTTCATACAGCCTGTCTGAAGAGGACTTGTCAATCTGTGAGTCTGCATCTTCAAGAATGGCTTCATAGTTTTTTGGAAGCAGCAATTTTGTTTGAGAAACCTGAGCTTCCTGAGCAGTTGCCATCTCTTCACCACTCTCTTCCTCCTATTAATGATGATGCTCAATTTCCATGTTTATAGTATGAAAGGGTGGCCAAATTAATTACTAGTTTATTATTGTTTTAGATCATAAAATAGATTTATTCTTTGATGAGACATAAATTAATTTATTCTTTGTATATGACAGAGTATTTGCATCTTGAATCTACCTTTGTAAAAGGGATAAATTATTCAGATTCTAAATCCCCACTAGAAAGCATATATTCAAAAGAACTAAATAACAAAAATTTAGTAAATTCTCATTCCAAAAACCTATAGAATAATTTTGGAACAATAATGCCACAGTTGATTTAGCGACATATAATGAAATAAATAAAATAATTTATCAAATCAACTGTTACCAAACCTAACTTTATGGTAAACCTAATCACGTACACCTAATAATCCTAGAGTTATGGGCTTACCTTAGGGGGTTTATAGTTATTAGCCCTTTAGTTTATTGATGACTTTATGAAGACGGCGGTGAAGGGTACAGACGTCGACGAAGCTGGCAAATACCACCGCCTAAGTCACGACTTGACGGCGGCGACAACGACTACGACGCTTCTAAGAACGACCTCTTCATCGACTCAATCAAACACTGGTAACCAGAATGACATCTAATTTTAGCTCAAAATACAGATTTCGCGATGAAAGAGTTGCTCTTCAAAGAGAAGGTAAATTGAATAACTTCTGTTTTCTGTTGTGAACAGTATATCAAAATTTTGGAAATAGTTTTTTCTGTTTTCGTATTCATGTTTTCTCCCGTGATTCGTTCAATTCCTTTCCTAAGTTTGTTGATAATGAATGCGCTTTTTCTTTCTGCCAGATTTAAAATGCGCGAATCCCTTTGATGAGAGAGGAGCTCCCATTTTATAGTGGGATGCCTTAAGGTAATCATCATTGAATCTGCAAGTTGGTGGAATGATCCATGCAAATCCTTTGTTTAGAGTAATTCACGTGATTTGCTACAGAGGTTAGACATGCGGGGTCATCACAACTCCTCGTTGGTCTGACGTGCACCCATTACTCTGATGGAAGCAAGCTGTGGGTGCCACCATGATCACACGAAGCAGCTGCATCAGAAGGGTAATAGGCTCTTCCCGAGGCCTGACCTTGTGCACTTAATTGGACGCCACGTCAGCCCTAAGTTCTCAGGCATAACAGAAGTTCCCTAGTTTTTAAGGTTTGAGAATCGAACCTTGGAAACTATTAGTCATGCCGCAATTGGATGATTCCTGGAGATTTTGGAAATTCTGGAAATCCCGACCTGCCTGAAAGTAGGTCGAGATGGAACTTTTTCGAGAACGCCCTAGCATGTTCATTGTTTGTAGGGGTTGAATGACCTGGCTTCATCAGACGTCACTTGTTGTCCTTTTTCCATGGGTGCATTTAATGAAGCAGTCCCTATGCTGACAGACATGCCCTGTGCGTAATAAGTGTCAGCCAGTTGCATTAAATGCGTTATACGCTGACACAGTACACCTTATCAGGATATTAAATGCACAGTACGTTGGAACGACACCCCTTATCAGAGCATTAAATACGGATTTGAAACACAATTAATGCTTTGAGGAAGAGAGAATGGCCGTCATTTGGGTTTTTCAACAGAAGAGATGAAGGTCTGACTTTATCCAGTCATGACGTTCACTCTTCCCCGCTGATGCACGACACGTGGCTGTGATCAAAGATGAGAAACCTTTGTTGCCCAAACGATGTTTCGATTCTGAGAAACCCAAGCGCTGATTCATACGCTATAAAAACCTCGAGTTGTTCTCAGGCAATGTCACTAGAACCTTTTTTCTTAGAGAGTAAAAGATTTGCGTAGACTTGGAATTTCTACCTTTCAAACCGGCGTTTTTAAGCATTCAGAGCAGAAGTTATTCTCACATTTGGCACGGTAAGAGCTTCTCCCTGTTTCTGTTTCGTTATTTTCCACGGTTAAGTGGCATCTGTCTTCCGGTAGCCTATCGGAGATGAGATGCTTAGGTCTGGTTCGAGCCATGAATGGCGGCTCGAATCATGCCGTTAGGGTTTCCTTTGGGATTTTGGGAGTTTGTTTTCTCCCACATCATCGTACAAAATAGCGTACGATGGCTAAATGACCCTTCTGCTTGTCGCTTTTGCAGACCGGCAAAATGGACCCCTCAACAATCGGACCCGAACAGGGAATCAATTCACCCCCACAAGGTGCTCCAACCATCCCTATCGAGGTCTTCTTGGTGCTCACCGGGGAAGAGCTCAAGAGGGTAATAAAGCAATACGCTATCGAGGTGG